AGGGACTCAGTGAGGGAGGGACTGAGGGGGAAAACAGCATTTGGGAAAAAGAGAAGAAGGAAAGATGGAAGGAAGGAAGGAAGGAAGGAAGGAAGGAAGGAAGGAAGGAAGGAAGGAAGGAAGAAAAGATTTTTTTAAAGAAAGAACAATGTTTTCTTGAAAGAATGGAAGACAGGAAGGAAGGAAGGAAAGAAGGAAGGAAGGAAGGAAGGAAAGAAGAAAAGAAGGAAGAAGCTATTTTTATAAAGTTAACTGTGATGGCTATTTCGGATTGTCAGCTTAACTGTATCTGGAATGAATTACAATCCAGAATTAGAAGGCACACCTGTGATCCAGATCTTGAGGCTGAAAGATAAAAATTTCCTATCTAGATCTTGGCAGGGAGATCTTGAGGCATAGTGGCCATGAGAAGCTTATTCTCATGTAAGTTATTACACGTCTTTAATCCCAGGAGACTGAGGCAAGGAGATATCTGAGTTCAAGGTCAGCATGGGACAAAGCAAGTCCCAGATCCAGACATGGTGGTACACAACTTTTAACTTGGGCCGCACCTTCTGCTAGAGGCTTACATAAGCACATTGGAAGAAAGAAGATTCACTCTTCCACTTACCTGCCATCACCTTTGTTTGGAACCTACTTCTGCAGAAGACCAGCTGAAACAATTAGCCCAGAGGGACTGAGCAACTACTAAATTCTTGGACTTCCCATTCAGAGCTGTCCATTGTTGGATTAGTTGGACTAGAGACTGTAAGTGATCATAATAAAGTCCTTCAATATAGAGAGACATTCCATAAGTTCTTTGACTCTAGAGAACCCTGACTAATACATCAACTTACAATTGTTAATGTTTGTGTGTTCTAGAAGTAATGCATCTGCGTTGCTTCAAGGCCTTTTTAACTTTTAATGTTATTAAAATTGAAAATAAGAATATTTTATGATATTATAGGGAAGCTCATATAACATACACAATACTGGAGCAAGGAAACAAAAACAATAATAAGTTCGAAATTTAAGCTAAAACATGGTGTGGAAACTTCTTATCTTCCCTACAGTATCCAATAGAGTCAAGTAATATCAGAATGACCAGAAAAATTGCAATACACACAATTTCAGCTGTATAGCTTGTTAAATTAACAGAAGTAATATACATGGCATGAAATAGTCATATTAATGGCTCTAGAAAATATATTTTATGTGCAGTAATAGCAATGAATATTTTAGCATCTGACTACATATTATTTACATTGATGTTGTTTCTAAATAAAAGTTTACACAGGTAATAATCTTACTTTATATATTATAAACATTCACAAGTTAGATGATAAAATGACTTCCTCAAAGCTTTAATATATAGAACCTAACCAATAATTAATAACATAGGTGGCAAATACTGTACGGTGTCTATAGAAACAGCACTGAATAATACACAGCTCAAACAGTCTGTATTGCACAGCACAAGTATCATGTCAATTAAAGTGAATAGAATGGTACAATATTCATGTCAAGTACTGAATTCTTTATTTTGTAGCTTATGAACAGCTCATGATTCTATTATTAAAGCTGAAAAAATGAAATTATTTAGTGAGTAAGGTACATTTGGGAATTGCTTTCTTGTGAATTTCTAAGACACTTGACTGCATTCAGAAGCATGTTTATCTCGTTGACATATTTCAGTACATTCTTAACAAATTCTGTGGCACACAGACGGACCTGACACAGTTCCAGATTTATTGACAGAGATTTAACAGGTCTCCACTGTATTCAAATTACTTTCTATTAATTTAACACATTTGCTCTAATTAAAAAGTAAAATTTCACTTTCTTTCAAGGGCTCCTTTGTGAATCCTGGGGCCATGTAGCTCAGAAAAGAAAGATCAAATGACAGCAGATGAGAATATTAAAATGTGAGTTCCATACATTAATTTTGTCTCTAAATTTAGAAATGCTATAAAATTAATGTTAAAATTGTAATGAATGATTCCTTAAGAACTGTGTATTCTTTTATCTAAGTCAATTAAACCTTATATATAGGGAATTACTAGTCTCAATTAAGAAGCATATGAATTTTAATTAGTTCTGTTTGACAGGAATCTATCCTGTTGTCAAGATGCTCAATTTATTAATGGTGTCAACAGAAACACATTATATACATACACACATACATACATACATACATACATACATACATAAACATACATACATACATATTTGTTAACATATTTGTAATTAATACACATATCATATGTCTTAATTACAGTTATATATAATTGTTTTATATACATATATATAAATATATATATATATATATATATATATATATATATATATATATATATTAGCAAACCAATATTGCTGTTGTTACAGAGAGGTTAGAGAATCCTCATGGTATCATGTTTCCTCTTAAGATCTAACTGCTAGAGAGTATTTAACTAGAATTTAGCAATTTACCAATGGAGAACAGGGTACCTTTGTAACAGCTACCTTTACTGTGTTTTATAGCAATTCTTTCCCTTAGTCACCTATTCATTCCCATATTTTATCATGTGTCTGATACACTGAGATGGACATAAGGATATTATTGTATATACCAGAAAGAACACAGTTAGGAAGAACTAAAACTCACTTATTTCAACTTTTGGTGGATGTAATATTCATTGCTTTTAGATACAAAATATCAAATGTCAAGTGACTGAAGATTTTCAAAGACTTGAAAATTTGACTCATGGGGTTGGGGATTTAGCTCAATGGTAGAGCGCTTGCCTAGCAAGCGCAAGGCCCTGGGTTCAGTCCTCAGCTCTGAAAAAAAAAAAAAGAAAAATTGACTCAGTCAATGCCGAGTGACTGAAGATTGGACAGACTTGAAAATTTGACTTAGATTTCAGAACTCCTTCCAGCTTTTGAAGCCTGATGGTTAAGAGTGACCTGAAAGACTGAATATTTAACATGTTTCTCACAATGTATCATTTAGAAACTGCACAATTTGAAAATTTAGCAAATCATTGTAGTAGAAATTGTTTTTGTTGTTTACAGATTTGATCCACTATCTATCATTCATCAAACACTAATATTCACCCCCTAACCAGTAAAATTTCTGAGACTTCAGGCTGTTTCATTTTCTAAACTGTGAACTTGTAGAGTGCTTATAGCATGCTATGCCCTTCTGTGAAGCTATATGTTTATGTTTGAATGCATTCTATTAAATAAGCAACTTTGTAGTAATATTTTAAAAAGTTTCTATATGACATCAAGGAGATCATCCCATGTGAGTACATGAAAAACTAAATTTGAAGTAGTAAGCACTACATCATTTCCTTTAATGAGAACAAAGCATATTCAATTATTTTTGGAATAAAATCAAAGACTTTTATAGCAACAACTTTAAGATATTGAAGAAAAACTTTTCAAGGCAATAGAAGATGGAAAGACCTCTCATCCTCAGGAATCGGTGAATTAACATTTTAAAAATTGCCTCCAACAAAAAGCAATCTACTGATTAAACACAATCCTCATCAAAATTCCAATGCAATTCTTGACAGAAATCAAACAACCAATCTTAATTTTGTATAGAAATACACAGATAATAAACCTAGAATAGTCAAAATAAAAAAACTGCTAGAGTTATTACTAGCCCTGAGTTTAAGTTATACTACAACAATAAAACCAGCATGGTATTGACATAAAATTAGATATATTGATCAGTGAAATAGAACTGAAGACTTGGTTCTAAGTTCATGTCCCAATGGCCACCTGAACTTCAATAAACAACATCTTATGGTTGAACTAATTCATCTTGGTACATCATTTATACATTTTTTAATATAAATGTCTTATCAAATCCATCAATCATTAAAGTAACAGCATCATATACTTATGTTATTATTGCACAATTATTCTGTTTTAGTACTTAAATATTATTATTATTCCTATTGTAATTCATTTTTATCTGTCTACTATGTGAAACAAAATATATGTAAAAATTGTCAGTTTTGTCCAGCATGATTTAGTATGCACCTTTATTTGAAAGGGAAGAACGTGTTCTATCATCTGAAATAGTCAATATACTCTCTTATCAATCAGTCTTCCAATGCTTTGCATTTCATTCACCTATTTTCATGTTTCTTCACTATAGTAAACTGAATATGGGGCCTTTTGTAATCACAAGGGACTCTTCTAGTTCTTGATTTTACTAACTTGAAATGTCATCCTAAACCTCATTTCTATTTTTCTAAAGACTTTCTTCCTTCCTTCCTTCCTTCCTTCCTTCCTTCCTTCCTTCCTCCCTCCCTCCCTCCCTCCCTCCCTCCCTCCCTCCCTCCCTCCTTCTCTCTCTTTCTTCCTTCCTTTCTTTCTTTCTTTCTTTCTTTCTTTCTTTCTTTCTTTCTTTCTTTCTTTCTTTCATTCATTTTTTGTCCCCCTCCTCTTCTTCCTCTTTTTTTTGTGCTTTGGTATTTGTTTGTTTGTTATTTTATCTTTTTTTTTTCCCCAGATAGGGTTTGTCTGTGTAGCCCTGGCTGCTCTAGAATCTTCTCTCTGGAGACTAGGCTGGCCTAGTATTCACACGGAATGATCTCCTAGATGTCCCCACTTCTTTATTTGCTTGGCTTGGAATAGAAATATGCCTCTTATTGCCATCAGAGTTCCCCTGTGCAGTGTCAGGCAGGTCACTCTTCTCTGAGTCATTTCTCTTTTATTTCCTGTCTCTTCATCCGTTGCCAAATTTTCCAGGAAATAACTTATGGAGAAAAACATGTTTCACTTAAAAACACATCCCAAAGTTCTGTTCCTGTGAAACATACCCTAAGAGAGTTATCTGCAACACTGTATTTAATTTACAATTACAAAAGCATTGAAATTAGGAACCTAATTGGTTTATCCACTAATAAGACAAATTTTTCATGCATTTATTTATGAATGGAAGATACTTAGAGCTATTCAAATTTTGCTGCAGAGAGCATTTGTGATTACAACTGATCATGATCCCCTAAAGACAGTCCATTATCCCTGACCCTAGAGGTGTTGCAGGTCTGTCTGCTGTGTCACATGTGTTTCAGTATGCGGCAGAGAGGATAGAGGCTATGTCTATGCTCTGTTTAGGCATATGAACATTTGAATGATTACTATTCTAACATTCCCTGAGGAAAGCAAGCTTAAGCCAACTTCCAGTCCATCCCCAGGGGGGTCTCAGACAAGGAGCTAGCCTTAGAGTACCACATCCATTGCCCTGCAGGCCCAGACTGGCTTCCAGGATGGGGAGAAAGCAGGAAATTAGATGAACATTGCCTAGGATCACAGGCACCAGCCAGAAGTGAGCCTGAGACAGCCCACCACCGAATGGAGCCAGTTAGGCAGGCCAGGTGAAAAATGAGTCTGAAGTGACCACCAGAACAGTGCAATGGGGGCCTGTATAGGTAGCCTGAGATGACAGCCAGTGCAAGGTACAGGCCTTGGGGGAGGGGCTCAGGCTAAGCCTGAGATGACCCCTGCCTGGTGCCATAATGCATGAGCGGTGTATACCATTCCTGAAACCATTGCCAATATGACCCCAGATATTCGGAGACAGAGAGAGAGAGAGAGAGAGAGAGAGAGAGAGAGAGAGAGAGAGAGACAGACCACAAGGATGTGGGCAAAATAAAGAGAAGTAGAACATGGTGAGGAACAGCCTGACATAAGTCGCTGATGTCGCCAACTAAGAACACAGTGGGTTTCTGGTCTGTGCTACATCCGGAGGCCATATTTAGGTCTGTGGATCAGCAGCAGCAGGGGTCTGTTACTACCAAGGCCAGGCAGATGCAATCTGGGGACATGTTGATGTCTATGGGATGTACAGAACTGATTCCACCCCTCATGTGGCCATCCTGGAAGATCTGTCCCTTGGGGTCTTGAGATCAGAAGAGCTATCCTTGCCACTAGCTAGCTGCAGTACTCCAGGGAGCAGGCACCTGCGTATTACAGGAGTTGTCAGTGAGCCAGCACCAACGGTGTGAGTACCGGAGAGCTGATTCTACCATTGGCCTCCAGTATGGTGGTATGAATGAAGAAGAGATACATCCTCCCTTGCCCCATATCACCTGCAGCAGGTGAGAGACCTAGCACTGTGGTCATGAGAGAAGGAATGCTTGTTTTGCCTGTCTGAAGCTGAAGCACTTCAGAGAGCTAATCCTTCACCTTGACTGGACAGTGCAGTAGAGATGACTCTGGTGGTGGATGGTTGATGGGTCAGACTCAAAGGGTATGAGTTTGGGGAGCGGGCCCCACCACTTGTCCCGCTATTCAGTGACATGAGAGATGGAGAGATGCATGCCCCCATCCCTAAACAGCCCCCCTCCCACCACCTAAGGCCGTCTAGAGAGCTGGCCTTGAGGTTATCGGAGCTGAATACCTGGTCCTTCCCCTCATCTGCTGCAGCCCTCCAGAGAGCAGTTCCTGCATCTCACCTAGGAAGCATGGCTGAGAGTCATATGTAAGATGGCTCTTAGAGAGTGAGTTAGCCTCACAGTTTGTTTGCCATCTGAAAGCATGGGTAAAGGAGGTATGTTCTCCCTTACCCTTACCACTTGCCACCTACACCAAGGGAAATATCTGGCCCTGGAGTCCTGAGAGCCAGAGAACTGGCCCTGCCCTACACCTGCTGTAGCAGTTTTGAAAGTGTGTCCCTGAACCTTACCTCGACAGTTGAATAGACCTGGCCCTGAATGGGGGAATCACAGGTGATCCTGCCCTGCTTCTTGTCAGCTGGGCAGTGGCATGGATGAAGGAGAGATAACTGGCCATGTCTCTCACTGACTGTAACACTTGGGAAAGCAGGCCCTGCACCTTGCCTGGGCATCTGGGTAGAACTGGCTCCGGTTTCAGGGGATGTATGTGAGCAGGCTCCAAGGGTATGAAAGCAGAATAGCTAGTGGGCTGAGTAGTTCAGATACCACTCAGGCCCAGGTCCAGGACCTTGAATTTGCCCACCCAAACATCTAGCCCAACAATGAATTGCTGGGCTGCATGAAGGGACCAGTCCTACAGATCCAAAGCTTCAGGGTCTCCATGACACAGGGCAACAACTGACTCTCTGAAAGGATTCCCAGTGACGTTCCAGTATTAATAGAGTAGCAGAACCCGAACATTTGCACGTAAAAAAAGAATGAACAAAAGAACATACTGTGGGATTGTGTGATGCATTAAGAAGCACTACAGCTTCCACAATGAGATGTTTTTTCTCTGTTGGAAGGGAGGTTGCAAGATTGGAGCAGGTACAAAAGGAGGGGTAGATGTGTAGGATTGGGTTGCATGATGTGAAATTCACAAAGAACCAATAAAAAAAAATTTTAAAAAATGTAGTCCATGTCAAGTGCCTGTTCACTTAGTGATATCTACTTACAAAATGCCCTCCCTGTGGCAATGCTGTATTTAGCACTTACAAGAGAAGGAAGGGAGCTGCAAGATCTAAATCAGGAGATATTAGAGTCAGGATTTTGCATTATGATCTCATGAAGTCCAGTGAGTGTTCAATTGTGGTCCATGACCTCATCTTCTGGAATAATTGGAGGCCCACTGTATTCCCTTGAAAAACTTTCTGAAGATATTTCCACATTCACAAAATGGCAACTGAAGATTCCTTTTAACCTTTCATTTTCTTCTCTTTCTATTCCAATTTCATCCCAGAATGTTTGCTCACAGGACATGTTTTTTTTCTCATAGATTTTACTTTGTTATGAAATGTATCTCCTATTGTTATTTCTTGTCAGGAAAGTTTAAGGAAATGTCCCATATTATCTTTTATAAATATAAAGTATGTTGGCTATCAGCAGGGGTTGCAGGGGAGGGAGGCTGATTGTGGTACTTCTAGATTTTGTATTCTCAGGTAAACACTTGCTAAAATTGGACCTTGATGGTTTTAAAGGCCATGTACATCATTAATCATAATTCTTGGAACATCTTTGAGTATAGATAAAATGATGGGAAAAGACAAAGTACACACTGGCTATTTTTAAAAATACTATTTACATGTCTTTATACTTGCCAACAACTATTAAGATTTTATAAAGATAGAGATAGAGATAGATCCTTTATTTGAGTTTATATGTTAATTCCAGCATTTCTTCCTTCCTTTCCTTCCTCCAAACCCTCCATATACCCACCTCCACTCTCTTTCAAGTTTATGGTCTTCTTTTTCCTAATTGTCATTGCATATGTATAAGAAATTGGCGTGCTCTTCCTTGATAGAAGGCCACCTCTTCCATTCCTAGTCTTCCTCATTCACCTTTCACAATTCTTTGTGTGGGATTGAGGCCTCATGCACTTTACTCCTTCCAGTTTAGCATGCTTATTGCTTCCATCATGGCTTGGCTCACATTTGGGCAGTCTCGCTGGTGAGACTTTAGTGTGTGGCTTCTTATGCTATTGGGGAAATGAAATACTCTGCTTTTCTTGTCTTTGTTTTTGTTATTCTCTCCTCAGATTAGAATTATCTTTAGCATTTCTGTGGAATATAAGAGGCCACAGTTGCACAGGCTTCCATACTTGCTCAAGTTAGTGATCTACTTTTGCAGCTACCCTTGTATGATGGTTTAAAAAAGATATCCCACATAGTCTTGAACACATACCCATTAAAGCCATTTGATACTTGGTTCCCACTATGGTTCTAGTGTGCATCATTTAGAAAGTGTGGCCCATTTGGAGGAATCATGTCATTTGAGAGACTGTCACCATTTCTAGTTTAGTTTCTCTGAATAGAACTTGTGGACTCTAAACCTCTGACACTGTAATCCCAAATAAATTCATTTCTCTACACCAATCAGAATGGCTAAGTTCAAAAACACAGGTGACAGCACATACTGACAAGGATATGGGGAAATAGGAACATTCCTCCCTTGCTGGTGGGATTGCAAACAGGTACATCCACTGTGGTTATGGATCTGGAGGTTCCTCAGAAAATTGGAAATAGATCTACTTTAAGTAGAACCAGCTATGCCACTCTTGGGCGTATACCCAAAGATGCCCCACCATGCCACAAGGGGCATGTGTTCCACTATGTTCATAGCAGCCTTATCTGTGATAGTCAGAAGCTGGAAACATCCCAGATGTTCCACAAGGGAAGAAAGAATACAGAATATTTGGCCCATTTACATAATGGAACACTACTCCACTATTAAGAATGAGGACATCATGAGTTTTGCAGGCAACTGGATGGAAATAGAAAATATTCTCCTGTGTGAGGTAACTTAGACCCAAAAGGACATGCATGGTATGTACTCATTAATAATTGGATACTAGCCAAAAAAGTATAGAATACACAGGATATAATCCACAGAGCTCAAGAAGGTCAACAAGCCTAAGGATCCATGTGAGGATTCCGCAATCCCACTTGAGAGGAAGAAAGCAATCAGAGGGGACAAAGGGCAGCAGGAATCTGGGTAGAAGTGAGAACAGGGAGGGAAAATGGAGGAATATGATCAGGTATTGTGGGGCACACAGGACTGAAGCCCTGAGGGACAGTAGAAAGAATTGGAAACAGGCAACCTTAGGAGGTAGGAGGTGGGGAAACTCTCTAGAATGTACCAGAGACCTTGGAGGTGAGAGACCCTCAGGACTCAAAAGGAAGAACCTTAGATGAAATGTCTTACTATAGCAAGAGGGAGCTTGTGGAATCTACTTCCAGTGGAAAGACAGAGCATCAAGTGGAGGGATGAGGCTGGCATTCCAAGATCAGGAACACTGACCCAGCATTGTTCCTGTAGAGGAAAAAAAATGGAGAAAAGCCTGAGAGAAAAGAGGTCCAGTGACAGTCCCAGATTGGGATCAAGCTCAAGTGGAGGCTCCAGGGCCTGATACTGTTACTGATGCTATGGTGTACTTACAGACAGGAGCCTGGCATGGCTGCCCTCCGAGAGGCCCAACAAGCAGCTGAGTCAGGTGAAGATATTTACACTCAATCAATGGACAGAAGCTGGGGAACCCTCTGGTTGAATTAGAGAAAAACTGGAAGAAGCTGAGGAGGAGGGTGACCCCATAAGACCAGCAGTCTCAACTAACCTGGACACCCCAACCCCGAGATCTCTTGGATACTGAGCCATCAACTAGGCAGCGTACACCAGCTGGCATTAGGACCCTGACACATATGCAGCAGAGGACTGCCTGGT